TAGTTAATGGTTGTTCTTGTAACATGCTACTAAAGCGTGATTCCCTTATCTTTACACGTGTTAATTGTATTCATTACAAACGTGTTAATGAAGATAAGTTTGAATCAACTTTGATTAATCTTTACATGAGTAAGAGATCTTTTCATTTTTTTTCAAAATCTCAAACTTATTGCATACCTTTGCATTATCTCTCTTCTGTTCCCTATGTTTGATGAAGTCAAAAGGGGGAGAATAGTTGCTTTACTTTTTTGATAAGAAATAATTCTTTATTTAGGGGAAGCAACAATTTAGGGGGAGAATTAGGAAAATAATTCATTTCTTTATTACTCACTAATCTGTATTATCAAGTGACTTCTTTTGCAGAGTTATTATTCAAAAGTGGTGTTTGTCTTCATCAAATAGGGGGAGACTGAAAGTAATGAAGATCTTATTGAAATACTCTGACAAAGATCTTGTTGATGTGATGAAGTCAAAGTCAACTTTGTAGCGGTCAACAGTCACTTAGATAAAAGAGTAGAGAGATTAGTGTGTCCGCAGCTATGCTTAGGTATAATCATTTTTATCTTTTCTGCTGCATGAGGTTTCTTCACTGAAAAGATTTTTCAAAATGCCTCTAAAAACGTTTAAATAGTTAAAAACAAAGTATTTTAACAAAAGCTTTCTTAAACAAGTTTTTAACTGATATAATTTCGATATAACCGGTTGTTTTCATTAAAGAAAGTTTTGAAACCCTTCTGTCAGTGTTTTAACTGATAAAGCTTCGAAATAACCGATTAAAATCACTTAAAATGTTAAGAGAAGTGTTTTTGCAGTATTTTAATCGATACAACTTGGTTTTAATCGATTAAAACCACTTAGAGTTCAATATGATCGATCAGAATGCAATTATGACCGATCAGAATCAGATATGATCAATCAGAATTGAGTTATGACCGATCAGAACTTTTTCAATCGATTAAAACACGTTTCAATCGATTAAAACAACTTAGAAAATTTTTTCACAGCATTTTAATCGATTAAAATTTATTTTTATCAGTTAAAATAACTTGAAAAGTTTTACAAGAAAGTTTTGTAGTATTTTAATCGATTGAATCGCGAAACAATCGATTAAATCAACTTAGAAGATTTTTTGTAAAGTGTTTTAATTGATATAAACGTTGTCGTATCAGTTAAAACAAATCTGTTAAAGAATCAAGAACGTATTAATGGATTAAAAGAAGTTTTAACAGATTTAAACTACACTTTTAACAGATTAAAAGAATCTTTTAACAGATTGATTAAACCAGCAGTTTTGAAAATCTGCTATAAAAACAATTTGGCTTGAACATTTTAAACACAACAATTGAACATCAATTTTTAGCAATCAAGCAAGCAAACATTAGCACACTTTCAAGAAAGATTTGCACCAGTTTTTGTGAAGTTCTTTGAAATCCTTTCTTGAGGCAAATTGTTTTCTTTTGAAGAAGAAACACACTGCAGAATTGCATAAAACTGGTTTGAGCATTCTAGTTTCTTCTTTTCATTTCTTTACTTCATTTTTGTATTGTTTGGTGCCTGGAATTTGGGCACTGATTTCTCTGCAGCTGGAATTTGGTTGTAGAGGTTGTCAAGAACTGGAATTTGGTTCTTGGTGTAAGGTTAGGTGTTGGTGCCTGGAATTGTGGGCACTGGTTTCTCTGCAGCTGGAATTTGGTTGTAGAGGTTGTCAAGAACTGGAATTTGGTTCTTGGTGAAAGGTTAGGTGCAAGAACTGAAATTGTGGTTCTTGTGGTAGATCGAGTGTAAGATTGTAATCTGTAAAACATTTGATCTAGTGGAACCCAGCTGGAATTTGGCTGGAGACTGGACGTAGCCCTGGTATTGGGTGAACCAGTATAAAACACCAGTGATATCTTTCTTAACCTTTCTCTATTTTAATTCTGTCGCTGCATTTATATTGATTGATTGCTTTGTAATTCAAGAACAGATCTGAAATCTTAATTTTTGAATTAGATAATCTGTGATTTGCGAAAAACTTTTAAAGATCAATTCACCCCCCCTCTTGATCTCAGCCTACTTTTCTAACAAGTTGATCAGAGAATTCAAACTAGTTAAAGAGATAGGAGAAGCCAGATGTGAGTTGAACTAAGACTAGTTGTGAAGAGATTGAAAAAGACAAAGAAATTAAGAATAGATGGAAGTAGAGTGAAGTGAAGGAACTCACTACGTAATATGATAAGATAAAGGTGAAAGTATTGAGGGGGAGATTGATGGAAATGTGAAACATGTCCCTATATTCCCAAGAGATGATTTTTATGATGATTCAAGTCAACAACATTCAAACATCAAGCACGCCCAAGATGATTCATGAAGACTAGATAGAGTCTTAGAATACTGGATATGAAGGTATAAGTTGATGAAGTGGTATTATACACAAGCCTCCAAAGCACAAGTGTGATAAAATTTCATAACATGACACTTTTTACTGTCATAATCAATTATGATGCATCAGAAATGGAAAAACGATTTTCTCTTTGTCATAATCGATTATACTGGTAACATAATTGATTATGGCAATTCAAATTTAAAAAATATATCCGTTTTGAAGAATAAATATTTTTGAATACATCCTGATTTTTCTCTATGATATTATTAATGACCAATGACTATTTTCTGATACTATTTTCCTATTTAAATGAGTTTTGATGAAAAATCAAACACACACAATTACAAAATTCGAAAATACAATTTTACATTCATTCAATTTTAAGAAAAGAATTATGAGCAAGGCAATAGAGATATTTTACACCTTCTGAGAAAATCCTCTTCTCTACTGTCTTTTGCACTTTCATTGTTAATCACACTTGTTCTTGGAGGTTGGCATTCTACAGGCTTCTACAATTTGTTGTCTCCATTATCCAGGTGTGACTGTTCTTATTTTATTACCTTCATCCTTTGTGGGTTTAGGTAGTTGTCATTAAATTCCCTTTTTATGGTTTAGCTTGTTTCTATTATTTTCTTTGCCTACAAACTAAGGGTTTTCTTGTGGGCATTGTTTCTTGAGAAATGTGTTTCTCTGTTCATCCCTTTGATTTGTTCGGGGAGGTTTTCATCCTTAGTGAGATTCTAAGGAGGTGTTTTCATTCCTTTGATTTGTTCGGGGAGGTGTTTCTCCCTAGTGTGATTCTAGGGAGGTGTTCATCCTTTGTGTGTTGGTGGCAAAGGAGGTGTTTTTCATCCTTTGATTTGTTCAGAGGAGGTATTCATCCCTAGTGGGATTCTAGGGAGGTGTTTATCCTTAGTGGGTTTCTAAGGAGGTGATTATCTTTTTAATTAGTTTATTTTTTACTGGTTCCTCTACTGAGTTGATTGTAATTTGTAAACTGAATTTTAAAAATAGTGAATTGGGAGTCACTCTTATGATTAGAGTTGATTGAGAACTGGATGTAAGGTTAGCTATACCCGAACCAGTATAAATTATTGTGTGCTCTTCTCTTACCTTTATCTCTTTAACAGACACCACATCTTATATCTCCACGCTTGAATCTTTCCATTTATCTATCCGATTGTATCACTTTCGCTTTATCTATATTTTATCTGATAATTAAACTTGAATTAAAAAATTATTGACTCACAAATAAATTTTAATTAGGCATCTATTTTAATTTTTGCATCTATTCACCCCCTCTAGATGTCATTTGTCTAACAAAAGGGTATTTTAAGAAGACAAAAAGAGTAATGTGAAAAGACTACGAGTAATGTGAAAATACAGAGGGTTATATATCAGAATTTAAATTTAAATATATATATATATATATATATATATATATATATAAAAGAAAACCAAAGGTTAATATGTAATATTAAAAAAGAAAAGAAGACAAACAGACAAACGAGACAAAGGGTTAATATTTTAGAATTTAGGTTTAAATATAGTGTCGGGGCGGGGACAGGGTGGGGATTGCATTACCCATCCCCGCCCCCGAACCCAATTTCTTAAAGCGGGGAAAACCCGAACCCGGTCAACTCAGTTTTTCCCCGTCACACTCGGGGCGCGGACGAGTTTCATTGTCATCCCTAGTTCTATATGACTCTAGATTCCAAAATAATAATTCACAAAGTGTAATAGGTATTTTAGAGGTAGATTTAAATTAACACTTAGACATTACCTTCATAGGAAGAATAAGTAACCATATTTCTTCTATGTATAGGATAGACACAAGATCATTAGAAGAAACTATTAGCTCTCATGGTACACAATTTCTTCTAGCCCAAGCCTTCACAAGAAGAAATGAAGGTCACTTGTGGCAAACACACTTACCCAGGGAAGAGAATAATCTCATTACTGCTTCTTCATCTACTATCTTACATAACATATCTAGAGGACTTAGTCTAAGTTTTACAGACTACAGAAACATACCCCACTTAGATTTAGAACAAGATAGGTCAATAGAAAATAGGCATAGTACTTCTGCTATTCCTGATAACAAAAATATTTCTATGATGAATATCATAAAATATGATGAAGACGAAGATGATGATATTATTGATGAAGAATGGAATCGTCATCAGGCTATTATAGCCATGTTCAGACAAGGAACTCTAGATTTTATTACAAACTCTTTTTCTAAAACAAATGAAAGCGTCCAAACTAATAAAATGGACGATATTATAAATAAATTTCTAGACAACGTATGTCTAGATAAGGAAGATGATGATACATTAGATGATGTATCAATAATCTCAGAACCCTTATCAACAATAGGGTTAATAAATACAAATATTGAATCAAATAATTTCCAAACAGAACCTTATACCTATCAGCTAGAACTAGATGATACACAAAGTTATTTTGTTGGTTTCCTGCTTAGAGAATCTCCACAAAAAGTTGTTTTTAGCAACAATCAATACACAACACAAGGCAAAAGACTCCTAATAGAGTCAAATTTTCAAATGCATAATCTTCTTATGAACATAGGAGGAATAGATCAAGAACAAATCAAAGTGACAAGGATTGAATCTTAGTGGATCGTGGCAGCAAGGTCACTCTGTCATTTACAATACCCCATCGCGTATTTAAATTAATAAATATTTTATCACGATAAAATCAACAGTTTATTTGAGGTGATTGTTATAATTTATAATTTTAAGATAATCAAATTACAAGACATCCAAAGTATTTAATTTTCCTAACGAGATAAATAATTAAAATATTTTGTTGAAATTCTAATTAATAAAAATATTGTGTATTTATTATCTGAAAAAAGAATAATACTTAGTAAAAGTTAATTTTATTTTCATTTTATTTTTCTCTCGCATTTTTAATTTATTATTTTAAATAATTTGTATTATATTTTCATTTAATTATTTTTATATTAAGACATTAATAGAATAATTATTTAGTGTTATTATCTTATATGGATTATATTATTTTATCATGCATAATTTTTTTTACCCCTCATACTATTTTATCATAATTATAAAAAGAAATATAAATTATATTGATTTTCTATTTACATTCATTTAAACATAAAAATAATGACTTAAGCGAAACTCGTTTAAGTAAAAAACCTTTGCTTGCAGCGATGTTTAAGCAAACGTGATACTACTTGCTTAAACGAATTTCACTTAAATTAAACGAATTTCACTTAAATTACTCTCTATTAGAAGGACTATAGCTTAAATATAGAAATATTGGATTAAAATTATTGTCGCCGAATAACTAGTAATTTGCTTAAGTCATTCCCACTTCATTGAAGCAATATTCACTTAAATAGAATGTAGGAATAATTGTTTAAATGATTATAAATCAAAGTGGATCTCGCTTAAAAAAAAAACATATTTATTTTATTAAATCTAATTTTATCATCACAAATTATTTCTATTTTATTATTCTATTTATAAAATATTGATTTAGAGATAAATATGATATAGATACAGAATGAAAGAAAGTTATTTTCTTATTCTATTTATGAAAGAATCATATGTATATAAATACAGAAAATCTCCCCAATGAAAGAAAGATTAGTGATACAATAACTCATCATATATAGAAAAATATGTATGAGTACTTTTTATTACTTAAATAAATTTTAGATGCAAAGGTTGTATGTTATTTTGTTGCATCTAACATTGCTTTAATCTTCAGTGACACCTTTATCTGATGAAAGGCAAGAGAACAAATGCCCCGTTCAACAACTGTCAAAAACAAAAGTATATTAAAAAAATACTTCATTACAAAAAAAGTATATATATGTATATATATATATATATATATATATATATATATATATATATATATATATATATATATATATATATATATATATATATATATATATATATATATATATAGTTAGTATGCGGATTTACGGATCAGTGGAGCTGCAGCTCCAACCAAATTTTTTTATATGTAATAATTATTTTTTAAAATTAATAAACTTATTTTATAAATATAAATAAAATTTTAATTTTTTATTTTTTTCTTTCCATTTTTCATTTTTTTACTTTAATTTTTTTATTACTCACGTTGTCTTTTCATACTTTTATCTTTTTTTTATTACTCATATATTTACATATTCTTTTATTTCACAGTTTCACCTTCCTTCTATTTCCCAGTTTTATCCTCTTGCACAAAATTTGTAAATTTTCTTTTTAATTTTTTTTCTTTTTTATAGTTTTATCTTTATAATATAAAAATGTATCTTTTTTTTTCATATTGAAGACATAAAGTAAGAAGTTAAAAAAATAAAGATATCAATAATAAAAAAAATTATTTTTTTTAATATGTAATATAGTATACAAATATGAAATATTATTTTTATAAATTATTTAATTACTTTAATATTTTATGATATTATATTTTGAAGTTAAAATGTAAAAATAAAAAAGTTAAATTTTAAAAATGTCTAAAAAAAATTTAAATATTATTAAAAAAAAATGATAAATAATAAAATATTTTTTTTAAATTTAAATTTAATTAAGAAGGTTGAACCTATTGATGAATATATTTATTTTTATATAATATTTTTTATAAATTAGTTTTTTATTCATCCATATATATATATATATATATATATATATATATATATATATATATATATATATATTTTATTAAGAAGATTAAGAAAAGAAAGATTCTTACAAATGAGTTAATTTATCTTAGGATTGATATTATTATCAACTCACAATCTTAAGACATTAGATTATGAGTCATATTTTTCATAGCTCAATTTTTTTTATTTTTAATTAATGTGAGACTTAACTTGGATTAGCAATATATATATATATATATATATATATATATATATATATATATATATATATATATATATATATATATATATATATAACTAAAGGATGAAATTATATTAATTTATGATTGATTCCATCATTTTATCCATATAAAATTCATGTTCATAAAAATATAACTTCAGTTATTTACTAAATCTGCACCAGTGTTTGTAATTAATTTGAAAATTGGAAGTGAATAGAAATCAAATAACCTTATTAATGAAAACAATTGGAAAAGTGTATTTAGGTAATTGTTTGTTTAAATGATAATCTGGATATTGAACTAGTCAGTCTTGAAGAGAATTACCTTCCAGTTCAATGAATAGAAGGATCTTGCGGAAGCTGGGTTTGTCACATCTACATATTTTGTCTGATACCAGAGAGTCAAAGCAAGAACCAAATTTCCTACACCCTAAAACATACAACAAACAGATTAAATTTTAAATATTGTTCAAAAGTTTAAATAAGTTTTACAATGATATGTAAAAAACAATATATACCTATGCTTTTCCTAAAAAATACCGATTTAAAAATAAGTTTTTACCCTTCACATCGACGTTGAAAAGTTGGAATAATCCAAGCAATGAAGACAACTTTTCATGGGAAATCTTTATTTAAATATAGATAGACTTAGAAGTTTAAAGATTGTACAAATGATAAGAATAAAATTTTATTAATAGTAATGTGAAAAATTGTTACAAAAGATAGAAAAAAAATTATTTTTTATTATATTATAATAATTGAAACCTAATCTTATAATTAATAAAGAAATAATTCATCATAATTTAAAAATCAATCCTAAGAGAAAAGTATATTTACATTACTTAAGACAACCATTGAACCATTTTTTTAAAAAACTTGTAATGATTATTTTTGAAATAATAATTTTAGAAAAAATAGCTATTTAATAAGTGAATAGGATTTACTTCTTAAAATATTAAAAAAAACTATATTTTTAAAATAAAATAGATTGGACAATCATATTAAAAAATAAAAAAATGTTTAATTTCATAAAAAAATATCTTATTTTAAAAAATAAACACAAATTATAAAACATTTGTTAAGCCCAAATAAGTTCTACACGCCTAAAATTCGAACCTAAACAAACAAGAAGATATTACCGTAACAATTTTAATCCAAAAAGGAGACGAAGATGATGCTCCTGCCAAAATGGCAACTCCAAATGCCATTTCATAAAGGCCAACACAGATCCAAAATACCTATCCAAGATTATTTAGAGTCAATCAAGTGTTATAGAATAGGACATAACCAAATTTCCTAAGATATTGAATTTCACAAGCATACCTTTTTAGAGCCTAAACGTGCTGAGAAAGAATCAACACCAAATTTTTTATCTCCTTCAATGTCAGGTATATCCTACATAAATGGATATAAGGTTTTCCATTGTTTTGGACCAGAAACTTAATGTTTGTGTTACGCAATAATAATTCAGATACCACTCATATTGTAACAAGACAAGCACGCTGCTCTGGGTAAATTAGTATATGTTCTGAGAAAATATCTACCTTGGATAAAGCTAAACCAAGAGAGTAGAAAGTCATGAATATGATAGAAACAATCAACGATCTTGGGAAGACGACTGGCCTCTTGAACACAAACGTCTGAACATTTGTTACATGAATTATTTAAAGATATTTTTACAATACATGCTCATTCAAAAAGTAAGCAAAATAAGAAAAGAACATGATTAGTAAGAACTGAACCTGCATGTGAAGAAAATATGTTATTGGAAATATAAATGTCCAACTAACAAAAATGAGTATTGCTGCGGCCACTGGAAATCTCTTCCATCGCAAAAGAGGCAACTGAAAAGTTTCAAAATAATGCTATCAATAACAAATTTTTTTTTTTTTTAAATGATCCGCCCTTCTTACTAGTGCGCTAGATTAGAAAAAATTCATATACGTTCATTCATTAGCTTATTGGTATTTGAATAATGAATTTCAAATAGCAAATAATATTTGTTTAAAAGAACTTCACGATTTAGCATAAAATATCTTATATTGCATAAAACAAGATATTTTTTTAAATGCATAAATATAATTAAAATCCACAAACTTATTGTCTTTATTTTATTTTTTTTATAAAAAAGTAAAATTCTTATTTATTTGGCTTACCTCAGTGCCTATATTTTTGGCCAACTATTGTCATATGATCGATATCTTATCAATAATCTGTATGATACGGTAAATAACTACATAATACAAAAAATCGGTTAAAAATGTTTTTTTTATATATAAATTATTTAATTTTAATTTATAATAATTTTATTAAAATATTTGTTTCGAATAATTTTTTTTCTTAAAACGCTATTTAAAACACTTTAAATTTTTTGTCCAAAATACTATTTAAACTGTTTGCGAAAAAAAAATAGAAGAAATCAACAGCACAATCTAATAATTTAACAAGGATAGAAAAAAAACATATGTAACTAAAAAAACGCGACTACCTTTAATTTTTTTTTAATTAAGAAAAAAAGAAGAAGAAAACTTATAAAAACTAAAACTGTCAATACGGGCGGCTCAATATGATTTTACCGGCAAAGTAAAAAAAAAAAAAAAAAAAAAAATATATATATATATATATATATATATATATATATATATATATATATATATATATATTATCTAATCTAATTTATATTAGGAAAACTTATCCTATCATTTTGTCAATTTTATTTTACTAAAAATATTAGATAACACATATTTCAATATTTTTTCTTTTCGGTTAATACATGTTATAAACCCTTATAATTGAAATGTTTCAAATAATTGGTTTAAAATATTCTAGTAGAAATATTAGATAATACTTCTTTTAGTTTTTTCTTTTTAGACGTTATAAAGATACGTAATTGAAATATTTTTAGTAATTAGTTTAAAAACAGTATTCAAAATTTTATTTACCTCTCAAACTCCCTTGTATTCAACATAGCTAAAGATCGTGCTTTATAAATGCATCTCTAGGTAAATTTTATAGTCAAGTTTTTATTACTTCAACAAGCTAGCTTTATTATTCAACAAGCTAGCTTTATTATTCAACATAACATTCTCATCATACTTTAGAAATACATTACATTTAAGAATATGTCGTCTTAAATTATTGGTCTTTGAAAATAAATATGACAGACAACAAAAAAAATGACAAAAATAAATGAAGATTATGTTAGAGTTTATTATTCTTTTATAAATTTTATATATATATATATATATATATATATATATATAACAAAATATATTATTAAATTAATTTATTATACATATATCTTCTAATAAAATAATATTACTTTTATTTTATTGGTAAAATAATTATTATTTTATAAAACGGATCAACCCATAAATAGTTAGTCTGCCCTAAACCTATTTATACCTGACTTAGATAGGTCGGACCAAAATTTATCTGATTCTGTTTAAATTATAATTTTTTTTGTTTGCATAATCTAATATATTTTTAGGACTTTTCTTATTAGCCTATCGTACTAAACCTATTTTTACATCTAATGAAAACAACTCCAACCATGATATCCCTCCATTCTTAACCTTTTCATTAATCCTTAAAACATTAATAGGAGAAAAAGAAGTTTAAATGCAATTTAGAAAAACATACGTTGACAGAATAGCCAGTCCATAACGTAAAGCACAAAGCAAAATTCCAAATCAAGGCCGAAGAACCTATCTTCAAGTTAAGCCCAAAACACTGCAAAAAGAATAAACACATAAGTCTCCTTGTCAATGAACCTCATCTTAAAAAATATTATTCTAGAAAGGGATGAATCTATTTGGCACCATAATTGCAGATGAGGCAACAATAAAGGCACAACTTCTCAAGGATAATTTCCCAGATGCCAATGGAAGATAGGGTTTGTTTATCTGCAATAAAACACGTAATATTAATGTAAATTAGTCATATGAGACAAACAATATGTACCGTCAACAAAGGGTTTGTAAATTATAAAAGATTGCATTCGGAGGTATATATATATATATATATATATATATATATATATATATATATATATATATATATATATATATATATATATATATATATATAGTTTTCTCAAGTTGTTCGAATATTTGAAGTTGGCATTATTTATTATAGTTATCACTTATTATTGTGTAATAGAGTTAGGCCTATTATTTTTCTTCTTGAGTTCAAATTTTGAATAAATATTGGTATTCTTGTATTTTTCCGGGAATTTAATTTGGAAGTAGGAGGATCTCATGTGAAGTCTGGTGAGCCGTTGTATGCTCCATTTGTGATCTTGTACTTTTGATAAACTTTTACCACAAAAAAAAGTGTTGGAAAAAATGTTTGAAATATATAACTTTAGATAAATCATGCAAACTATTAATTAAGTTTCTATGTTTTTAATGGAATAATACAGAAGTCTAAAATAAACAATAAAAAGGTAATGTATCATTGATCCAAATATTTTACTTCTAGTAGTAGTTTCATATACCTACCTTATCTATTTCAAAGTCAAACACTTGATTCACTCCATTAACATAAAGATCCATAAACAAGGGAGGTAACAAAGCCTGAAACATTTAAAAAACTCAATGTATTAGAGAGGTTAAAAGGGTAATTCATAATTGTCGATTTGAAAAGAAATAAGATATTTGGAGTCTCACCTGTAATAAACCAATAAAAAACAATGGAGATATATCTGATAGTTTTTCTACTGCAATGAGAGATGCGGAAATTGCAGCGATTGACTGAAAAACAAATAAAGTTAACTCATTGAAAGCAACAAGGGTATAACAATTATCAAAAGAAGCATTTAATACACAAATGAATCAAATTCAGTATTAACCATAACTATTGAATATTAATTATGAGAGTAATATTAGAAAAGTTTGTACTTACTCGACCACACATTGCGTAAGGATACATAAATTGGTACAAAATGACCAAGATATTTTTGAGAGAGTCCACGATGTTTCTGGAACTGGAAGCATGAGATTCTGACTCAAAAGATGGTACAGTGACTGCTTTCACAACATAAATTTTATTGTTTTTTTTATATGTGGGTCCTCTTTCATTAGAATGATGATTCAAATGTGATTGTTGAGACCTCAGAGGATTATATTCTATTTGAACTCTTGTTTTGTGCTGAGAAACTTTTGATCTGCAAGAACCTGGTACCAAATGTTGGAAGTTGTATTAGTTTCCAGGCACAACCAAAAATATATATTCCTGTTTTAAATCAGTGCAACTAAATCATGACATGATGATGAATGGAGAAAGAATAAGAAATTTGAAAATTGATACCAGAGAAGTTGTGACCAAACTTTATATTTTATTTTGGAGAAAATATTTTAAAAAATAAGTTCTAGCATTTGGTTGATTTAGTTTTTAAAAATAATTTTAGATGAAAGTGAAAGACATAAATGATGATAAAAATTAAAAAATAGTGTTAATATTTTGTAATATTGAAAATGAATTATTTAATATAATTATTAGTAAAAATATTGACATACATTGATAAAAAAAACATATTTTATTCATATTAGAATATTAGTTTTTAAATATTAAAATAAATAAAAATAGTTTTTAAAATAATTTTAATTAAAGAGTTATCAAACAAACTTTTTAGTTTTTTTATGGATAATATATAATATATTTTATAATGACATTTTAACTTATTTTGGAAGTTAAGATTTAATGATTGATTAAATTTCTCTATATTCTAGATAAGAAAACAAGAAGAAAAAAAAGGAAATTAGTTTTTTTTTTCCATAAATTAAAATTAGTATAATGCGATTTATAAGATTTTTTCGGAGTTTATGATTTTATCTATTTTCAAAACCATTTTTTACTCTTTCATTTTACTTATTATTCAGAAAACCCAAAAATAGGCCAACGTGCGCATCCTCGATTGGTTCCCGATGTTCAAGGACGAACCTACATCAACCTTATCCTAAATTAAGATACATTTAAGATATAATTTGTGAAGACAGGAGATAACAAAAACAAATTCGAATGGTTAATTTTCATTTAACAAATTTTTAAAATATAAAAAGTAATGTATTAATATCAAAATTATTAAAATTAAGTGTTTTTTAAATTATATAAATAAATAGAACTTTTGTAGGAAATTTAGTTATTATAATACAACAAATAAGTCCACTATAAATTGTTTCATCCAGTCAAAGACTATTGATAAGTTTAAGAGTTTCGATCTGTATCTTTTCTTATCTTTTATGAATCATTTTAAACTTTACTAAAAATTATAATCATTACTTTTATTTATTATTGTTTGTAAAAGTATAGTTTAACAAATAAATTTAATATATTTCATTTATGAGAGGTAATTAACTCATGCCGATATTATGATAGTGAATACCAAACATTCTCATTCTAACATAAAATATTGATGCTCATTACATGATTGAATTAGAATTTTGGTTCATTTTTACCTTTTAATTTTCGATTATGGGCTATTGTGTTTCAGTATATACCCCGTAAGTCTTAAATAGATTAGAAGTTAAGATTAATAATAATTTATATATACCCTTCTTTCTTTTTAATCTATCGAAACATTTTTTAAGGACAAAATCGTGTTCGACTAAAATTCTAAAGCTAACAATTAATATATTAGATCTTAATATTATTACGAGTGTACATAAGATCGAAATACATTCGTTTCAATATGGAATATTAACGTCAAATGTGAAATTAAAGATAAAATTTCGTCAAATCTTATCCTTTAATCCTCAAATGAGGAATATATTATGAAATATTCAAAAGTTTTATATCGTTTAAAAATTGAGAATATATATATACTTATGAATATGTTTTTAGAGGTAAAGTTATGATAAGTTATAGTGTTTAAAACTTACTCTTAATAATATTATCAAGAGAGAGTAAAATATATTCTATAATAAATGTTATTTCTTAATTATAAATAAAAAAACTTATATATATATATATATATATATATATATATATATATTTTGATAACATATTATCCATACATTAAAATGATAAAAGTGATTCCATCTTTCTACTAACATATTTCATCTAAGAACCCTGATATTGACAACCTTTAAAAAAACTTCAAAAACAACTCAATTTATTAATATAATAATTATAAAAGGAATTTAATAAAAATAAAAATAATTTAAAATTATTATTATAATATCAAAACTAATTGTAGATTAAATGTTTGACAAAATGCAATTGTCAAAATAGTTTTTTCTTTTCATCTAATAGATGAACACGAGATTTGAGAGAATGAGATACTTAAATGTTAATAAAATAATTATAATAAAGGTTAATTGAAGGAATAGGGGATAAGTGAGACATACTTGCATAGTAAATACTCTTGGTGGAGGGTTTCCTGGTCCAGAGATTTGCTCCTACAATTATGGTTCCTCATATTAGTCACCACATAATTTTGCACTTGAAAATGGACCAAATTAGGACATAATAAACATGGTTACCATTTATGACTGAACAGTTAGGAGAGGCTATAACATGTGCCCAATCCATGGAAACTCAACTCACTAACAACACATGTGTACAGACCACGCTACACTCTGTAGAATGAATAACAAAAGCCTGTAAAGAGACGAGAGGAGTGGGAGATTTTATAGACAATGATGAAATTTCTTTGCGTTTTCTTAAGGAGACATAAAACTTTATTGCTGCGTAGAAATTGACTCACAACCCACATGGTCAACATTTTGTAGCTAAATAGTTGCAATATAATCAATCATGACATACAGGTAAACAATAGTTTCCTCCATTGACCTAGAAAAGTAAAAAGATACTTGAATATTATTTCGTTCTATATTTGGTAATGTTTTTAATTTCTCAAACTTAAAAGTAATGATTTTCGTTTTCTAATTTAAAATATCTCACACTTTTAGTTTTTATCAGGAGCTAAATAGTCACCGCATAAATAAAACATAAAGATGTTGAATTAAGGTATAAGAAAAAGCTTTTAAAGATAAAATAATTATATAAAATTTAAAAGATCGTGTAAATATTATGATATAGAATAATATTTTAATAAGAGAAGACTTTTATAACAGGATTTTGAAGTTTAGGTTTTAATAATTTATAACATAAAAGCTTACAAGATTTGGATTGACTTTTCAAATTTATTATAAATTCAAAGTTAAATGAGTATGTTAAAAAGATAAACCAGAAAAAAATTAAAAAAAGAAAAGTGAAATTAATACAATTTATGAAGTTTTTAATAGTGGTTATACTTCAAATGTTTTATTGCTGTTGACAAATTATAGATTGTATAGATTATGGTTTTTATAAATTAACCTGTAAGTTTAATTATTATTAAATTAATAATTATGATATAATATTATGTATATTTAAGCCATTTAATCTTTAATAAATAAAAATAAAATATATTTTTTAATTTTATTATGGTATTAGAACCATAATATAATAAGTAAAGAAACATACATTGTTGCCATGACGCTTCCAATTATATGACATAAAATTTAAGACTCCTTCACTAGTTGAGAACCACACAATGATACCAGAGAGAATGTCAATTAAAAAAGGAAGTGTACCCCTTCAAGGAGCGATAAAATTTAACAACGTGTTATATGTACCTAGACTACAGTATATATAGCCTAATATCTATGTCTCAATTATTGAATGAGTAAAATGGTATAACTTAATTTACTAAATCTACATGTGTTATACATAGGTATGACAACAGAGCGGGGCAGGGGCAAGTTTTGTCTTCCTGATATCTGTTTCCGACTTTTTTAACCGTTCTCGTTTTCGTCCTCGATTTCCACCTAGTTTAAAAATTAAGTCTTCGTCCCTGTCCCTGTTGGGTTTTGAGTCTCCGCTCCCGCCTCATCCCCGATCTATATTATTTTTAAAAGAATAATTATATTTATAATAAAATAATTTTACTATTTTGATCTATTTTTTATATATAAATAAATATTTATAATTTTATAATTTGTAATTATTATTAATTAAATATATATTTTAATTTATTATATTTATATTAAAATATGTGTGTAAAAGAAATATTTAATTATTTTTATTTATACATATATAGAATATTTATAATAATATTATTATTATAATATTATACTCAAACATTTGAATACTTATAATATTATTATTATTATATTATTATTATATTATATTCAAATATTTGATTACATATATATGTTAATTATTTTTAAATTTTCATTTAAAAATATGAAATATATAGTTTATAAAGAAATATTTAATAAGTTAATTTTTATTTAATTAGTTTAAAGTAATAAAAGTTTAAATTATCAATTCTTTTTAATCCTTTAAAATACAAATTATTTTATTAAGATAAAATTTGATATATGACAAATAACAATAATAAGATTCAAAAAATATGACATAATAAAACCTAATAAATATAAATTATAAATAAAATAATATTAGGTACTAGTAAAATTTATGTACAATATTTAGAAAAAAAAAAGAAAAAAAATTAACTTTGTGTTCATCAAATTGGTTGAAAAGGTTGAAAAAAAAATAATTTGAGAGATTAAAGAAATGTGACAAACTGAAATGTGTAACATCCGAAAAATAATTTATGTAAATTTTTCTTCAAATATAACGCATTAAATAATATTGTAGGTAATTTAGAAAAACAAACTCATTTATGTATATATATATATATATATATATATTATTGTTAAACTATTATATAAAAATAATAATAAAAAATATATTTATCATTATATATATATATATATATATATATATATATGAAATTAACACTAATTATTATTATAATATATTATGAAATTATTATTATTATTATTATATACTATTATAATTAAAATGTAAAAATATAATATGAATTAATAATAATAATAATAATTATATTATATATTATTATTAATATGTAAAAAAAATAACATTTCTTATCTCTTGGTACAAGAAGAAGAGATAAGCTTTAACTTAAAAAAATAATAATTTAATGAAAGGATAAGAAGAAACATTAATGAAAAAAAAGGTAAAAATGTTTCTATATAAAGGGGCGGGGGTGGTGAAAAAAAAAAATAGGTAAGAAAGGGAGAAAAGGAAGAGAGAGAGGAAGAGAAGAAAAAGAGAGAGGGAGAGAAGAGAAGAGAAGGAGAGGAAAAGAAGAGAAGAAGGGAAGAGAAATAACTTGAAAACAAATTTTGGTGTACCATATTGAGGTAGGGGAGAAGAATATTATCATTTTATCTATTTTATTTTAATTATAGTTGTGGAGTGAGGTATCCCTAACCTCATTCTATTTATTCTGTTACTTGTTTATCTTCAACTATATACTGATTGCCTTATGTTTATTTATTCTTCTCCAGTCTTGCACTAGTATTATTTTAATTATATCCAGTTACGTACTGGTCCTGTTTGTTTATTTTATCTCCAGTCTTGTACTGATCCTATTTTAATTATCTCTAGTTATGTACTAGTCATATCTTAGGTTTATTTATTTATCTCCAGTCCTGCACTAGTCTTATTTATTTATTTACGATTACGTATCGGTCTATGTTTATTTATTTTTCTCCGAGTCTTGCACTCGATTTTATTTTAATTATCTCTAGTTATGTATTGGTCCTGCTTTATGTTTATCTTTATCTTCGATCCCTGACTTGGTCTTATTTATCTTCAGTTATGCATGAGTCTTATTTATTAATTTATATTTATATAATTTAATTATTTTTTTATAATAATATTTATTTATGAAGATTTAATGATATTGTAGATGAAGGTTAAACCTTGGGGATTGAAATGAGTAGTTATCACTAAGAACGTGGTTAAAATTGGGCTCATTTATCCTGACCGAGTCACTATAAATTTAATTTAAATCTTCATAAAATAATGTGTTGAAGAAGTTGAATATATATATATATATATATATATATATTATAAGATTATATTATTTTAAATAATAATTGTTCTCACTTCCTGTTGTGATATTTTGTGCATGTTATATTTAAATATCAACTTAAGTAGATAGAGGCGCCAAATATTCGAAATCTCTTTCTTGCAAGCATCACTGTCTTCTTTCCAGGAACTACTTCGAACACAAACGTTACTGACAACTCGTTTACTTTTAAAGGGACATGGTTATCAATATTAACATTTACATATGATATGGGAACTCTAATCATGCTAGATGGACCAATAGTGGTTACCTTTTGCATGTCTCCTACCATTCACCAAAACCCCTTAATATTTTTTTTTTCCATCGACAATGTAAATATTTGTATAATTGTAGTAAGAATAGAAGAAATAAAAAAATATATAAAATTCCTTCTTCTTTTATATATCCTATAAAAAATATAGTAATGTAAATTACTTTTACATATATAAAATATTTTTATTTTACCCGCTACTCTTGTTAAATAATAATAAAAAAAGACGCCACATTAGATGGTATCGGAGCAACATATCATGTGTGACCTGTGAAATGAGCCTATCATGAGATCTTATGAATCCTAACCTATATAATTCCAGATGGCAAATTATAGGAGGAACAACGAGTTGATAGAAGCGGTACAAGTTATCCAAGACATGACCGTTGCATTATTAAGGAACCAAAGACCTAAATGAACCAATGGATTACAAGGTTTAGTTGAATTTAGGAGAAATCTGCAATTTTCTGGAGGTTATAACCCAGAAAATGCTAAATTATGGATTAAAAAATTGGAAAAAATATTTCGAGTTATGAATTATCCTGATGACCAAAAGGTGAATTATGCTGTGTTTATGTTGATAGGAGAGGTTGAATATTGGTGGGATAGTACCAGGAGATTACTAGAAGGAAGAAAAATAATCATTACTTGGGAGGTGTTTAGAACAAAATTTTTAGAAAAATATTTTCCTAATGATGTGAGGAGGGCAAAAGAAATAGAGTTTATGCAATTAAAACAATGAGGTATGACGTAGGAGAATATGCCTTTTAAGTTTGAAGAGTTAGAAAAATACTTTGCATTCTTTTATCACCCTGATGAAAGAATGAAGTGTATAAAAAGACAATCACCTTAGAATCCAATTAAGGATGAACATCTCCTCTGAACAAATCAAAGGATGAAAAACACCTTGTTTGCAACCAACCCACAAAGGATGAACACCTCCCTAGAATCACACTAGGGATGAACACCTCTGAACAAATCAAAGGATGAAAACATCTCCTTAGAAGCCCACTAAGGATGAACATTTCCCTAGAATCACACTAGGGATGAATACCTCTTTTGAACAAATCAAAGGATGAACAGAGAAACACACTTCTCAAGAAACAGTTCCCACAAGAAAACCCTTAGTTTGTAGGAAAAGAAAATAAGAACAGTCACATCTAGTAATGGAGACAACAAATTGTAGAAACCTGTAGAATAATAACTCCAAGAACACAGTGTGATTACCAATGAAAGTGCAGAAGGCAGTATAGAAAAGTTTTCTCGGAAAACCTAAAAGTGCTTTGTTGACTTGCTCAGAATTCTTTTCTCAAAACTGATTGAATGTAAATTGAATTTTCGAATTCTATAATTGTATATTTTTTATTTTTCATAAACTCATTTAAATAGGAAAATAGCATCAGAAAATAGTCGTTGGTCATTAATAATTTTGTAGAGAAAAATCAGGATGTATCAAAAATATTTATTCTTCAAAAATGGATATATTTTTCAAATTTAAACTACCATAATCGATTATGTTACCAGTATAATCGATTATGACAGAGAGAAAATCAATTTTTCATTTCTAATGCATCATAATCGATTATTACACTTACATAATCGATTATGTGACTTATATAATCGATTATGTCACTTATATACTCGATTAAGACAGTAAAAAATGTCATATTATGTTTATTTGATGATATAATCGATTATGACCTTCACATAATCGATTATGATAGTGAAAAATGTCATATTACAAAATTTTATCACATTTGTGCTTTGGAGGCTTATGCATAATACCACTTCATCAACTTGTACTTCCATATCTAGTGTTCTAAGACTCTATCTAGTCTTCATGCTTCATCTTGGGCTTACTTGAGTAGTCATCTTCTTCAGAATGTATATCTAGTCTTCAGACTTCATCTTGGGCTTGCTTGAGTCTTGAATGGTGTTAACTTGAATCTTCATCAAAATCATCTTCTTCAGAATGTAGGGAAATGTTTCACATTGTTATCAATCTCCCCATAGTGCTTTCAATCTCTCCACAGTGCTTTCAAACTCAAAGTCGACAGAAAAGTTATGCTGACAAGAGAAGACAACCCTTAAATTCCAAGAATGTGAGCACGTATTCTTGAAAGTAACACTGACAACTAGAGTTGGTAGAGTGATGAAAGCAAAGAAACTCACTCCTCAATTTATTAGTCCTTATCAAATTCTTAGAAAAATAAGTCTTGTTGCTTACCAAATTTCCTTACCCCCTTTCTTTTCTAATCTTCATAATGTGTTTCATGTGT